TCTGAAGTCCACCACCAGCTCCTTGGTCTTGCTGACGTTCAGCTGGAGGTGGTTGTCCTGGCACCACGATGCCAGATTCTTCACTTCATGAAGTCCATCATTCTGCAATGATGGACTTCAAATTGTTTGGAAATGGCCTCATAACCCTTCTCAGATGGATGGACAACAACAGCTGCTTCTCTAAGATCACTGCTTTTGTCTTTCCTCCTGGGGTTTGTTTTAAGACAGTCCTGACTTTCCAAAGCTGCAAAATGACAAAACGTCTGCGCTTATAGAGGTGCTCACACTTGCTAATTATCTATTAAAGAAGCGCATTTCATTGGCTGCTACATACCTGCTCAATTTCTATGGAAGCTGCAAATATGTACTTTGTTTTTCCACACACTGCTTCAGCATTTTGGCTTAATTTTTTTCATATAAATAAAGGCAATGGATGATATGTGTTGTTGTTCAACTAAGGTTGTACTGAAATGCGGAAGGATTTCTTATTTGGCACCTTCAGCTCTTCCATCCAACATATCTCTCTTGCATCCTCACAGCGAGAGCTCAGACCCAATAAAATGCATCCAAGTAGTTTTCCAAGTAGTTTTTATTAGCCTCTGCATGTCATACTTGATTTAAAGACTCATGCTGTAATACAGACTGTTTATTATGTTTTATTACCTTAACCCACAGGTCTCTTGCTCCCTTTTACTGAGCTACAGACCCAATTTGTAAAACCTTTCCCCAGAGATTCAAGATTAGAATAATGCACCTTATGTTGTTGACACAGTCCTCATGGGCCTCCGTCAGGGTTTTGATGTGTCTGGATGAGATTGGATCAAACAGCAGGACCTCAGTCTGCTCACAGGCCACAGTCAGCACAGACCTAATCAGAAGAAAAAAACCCAGTTGATCTCTTTGTTCATGTGCGACAAGATGTTATGCAGCAGCAAACGAAAGCATAAGGGGGAAAAGGAGAATATTTTCTCGGTTTATAGGCAATCTAATAAGTAGACAGGATGAATTTTACTTGCATTGACGCTACACTACTCATTGCGTTTTTGCTATAATAATGAGTCACAACAATGTTACTAAAACTGCACAACAAGAATAGGTAAAATTTAAAAAAAATTCAAGCGTCAAATGCAGACACAGGTCAAAGTATTGAGTATTGACGAGTATTGTGCACAGCAGCGCTATCACGGTACAGCCAGGACAGGAAGTGTGAGCCCACAAAACAAATGTGACCCAGACTGGCCACAGCTTGACCTGGTTTGTCTGCAGGATTTGTTTCTTACATCTGCTGTCTCTTGGCTTAAGTCCGAGAAGTGCTCACTAGTTGTACAAGACGTTGGAGGTTACATTTTGAGGATATTAAGAACGTACTGTTAAATCATCAGTGAACAAACTGATGGGGTTTGTCTGGAAACTATTTATTATGTCATCAATAAACACCGAGTGAGTATGTATGAGCTGAAGTGGGTAGGTGAGGACGAATGTGGCTTTTAAATTCAAGCTTTTAACGCACAAATATCGGGAAATCTCTCAACTTCACACCCTAAAACGCAGACAAATCTTACCCGTCCGGGGAGTACTCCAGGTTAAACACGGCTCCATGGGTCTGAGTGCCCAGGTTAACTGACTCTACAGCCGGATTCATAGAGCGGTACAAGCTTGTCATTGTCCTGAAGTTATCCCGAGCTGGGTCCACAAACACCCCTCGTCTTATAGTCCTGCTCTGCAACCAAGAAAACAGGCTAGCACCCCTGAAGCTGTCAGTGTCGGAGCCACCACCAGTGTCGGAGCTACCATCAATGCACTTCTTCAGCGGTGCGACGGCCGGTCTGGAGCGGGGCTCTCGCTCCGCCAATACGGGAGACCCCGCGATAGGAGCCACTAGACCCTCGCTGCTCGCGGGGGGTGAAGGAGAAACTCTCCGAGCGATGTCACCTTCCTCATCCGAATCGTCAATGTCAGGGTCTTCCTCTTTGTCGGAGACGGTGCCGCCGTTGGGCCTGTCCCGCGACTCGTCGGCGTCCTCGCTGTCGCTCTGGTGCTCCGAGCTCATTGTAGCTTCTCCAGCGTCCGCACAGACGTTTGCGGTTCGGGGTGCAGGGTCTCGAAAAGTAGGCTGGCCCGGTCACCTAATGAACGCGAACCCGCTGCTTCCTTCACTCTTTTAAGAATCCATTGCAGAGCATTTTAGGTGCATAGGTTACGCTGGGCAAATTTTATTTTGTTGCTAGGTTTGCCAGCGCCTTAACGCCTCCCGTTAAACCACACACGTTAGCTTACATTTCACCGGAAGATGATGATTATACTTCAAAATAAAAGCACAAATAGCCTTTAAAACTCTACGCGTGTGTCTTACATAAAGCAAAACACAATATAAGTATTGTTTATTACTCCTAAACCGTGCTTCTACTCATTTTTAGCGAAATAAGACACGTACAAATAATCCCGTTTTCTTGAGTACAAACGCCGAGCTGAAACATCCAGGCGGAAGATCCGTGCTTCTTTCACATAACTTGTTTTGTTCGCACCAAAACAAACGCAAACAATGACGTAGTTCCGTTTCCTTTCCCTAGCAGATTGCTTGCTGCCATCTGCTGAATAAGTGGATTTTCTATGTGACAATAGTTAACCACAAATTCATTTATGAATATGACAATATAAATGCGCAAGACTGAAATCTTTAAGGTGTAAATAGCGCAGGAAGATCAACAAAACAAACACTGTCATAAAAAGGTAACAACAATAATAACAGTGATAATAATACATCAAGTCAAAAGTCTTGAGCCAATCCTCATTTTTTTAATATTTTACAAGAATACTGTAAATAAATGCAGCAATGTTTTTTTGAACATGTGTAAACATGCACGGAAATAAGGCATATAAGGCAAGAAATAGATAGTGCAATTCTAAGGAGACTGAATGTTGATGTTTGGTATGATCACCTTTCTTTTTCAACACAGCCTGAACTCTCATAGGCACAATTTCTAGTAATTTCTTTGAGTAGGCTTCAGGAATAGCTCCAAAGAATTTCTAAAGAATATTACAAGCTTTTCTTTGGGTGTTGGCTGCCTTTTGTTCCATTTTCTGTCACGATAATCTCACACTGCTTCAGTAATGTTGAGATCCAGGCTCTGGGGAGGCCAATCTGTGACTGATAGTGTTCCAGTGTGTGTTTTTCAATACAGGTTTGCTTTTACTACATTGGCAAGTTGTTTGGGATTATTGCCATGCCGAAAAATCCAAATGTCCAATCAGATGCTTTCCACATGGATGATGGGTCAAAATCAGCTTCACAGCTGTAGCTTCACAGGTTCTCCACAAGGGTGTGTCCATTCCTCAGTGCATTTCTGGTAAGACTCCTGCTTACCATACTGAGCTATTTTAAAATAATCTGTTTTCTCATATATCAGATATTTGAAGTAAAATATATGTATGTATGTGGTTTCTCTCTCCATATATATAGCCTTTTACAGGAAGATTCACTGACAAATGAAGAATTAAGAAAATGTCTTATTAAGGAAAATGTGTATTCTGACCAGTTTGTGAAAACCTCCTTAAGACTGCTTTGGTTGGTAGCATATTTCTGTAGTCATAGTTTAAATGGAAATAATGAACTGTATGAACACACATTTAATTGCGAATCAAACAAAATTCCATTGTGGTTTGCCTTATGCCTTATGTTTCTATTAAGCTTACCAGTGATAGCTAATAAAGCTTATTTTGAGTTTATGTTTGTCTAAGGAGTCCTGCATATTGGGTCTCCACCTACCACACAGCACCCCTTGATAATAATTTCTGTTGCTGCAGTCTTCTGAGGACTTAAGCCTGATTAGAGCTGTTGTGGTTTTCTGAATTGTGATTTCAAACAATTTTCTTGTAAATCTGTGGACATTTGATTTCATGTTCAGCATCCTAATTCCATTCATTCTGTTGGAATTGCATTGGTAACTCATTGAAGTGTTACTGAGTATTCATAACCAGCCACTTTGTACGTACAGTGAGCGAATGGGTTGGTGAACTAAATAAGGTTGAATTAAATTGACTCATTAGAACTACGTTGGCTCATATTGATCAGAGAGTTAGAACAACAACTAAAAGAAACTTAGATTAACCTGAAAGGAACTAATCAGGGTTAACTGGTATTGGACACAAATCAGGATTTAAAACCAAACCTAAAGTGGCAAGTGAGAGAGATTTATTTTTGGTTTTTTGGGGGTTTTTTGTTGTTGTTTTCTTCTTTTATTTAATTCCTTCTGGGATTTAGATCCAACAACTTAAGTGCCGAAACTGTACGTACACTTCTGTGTATTCCATTTTCCATAAAACAGCCAGCAGTTCAAAATTTACGATGGTCTGTTGTTTGTTACTTCAGGTTTCCAGTATAAACTGCTCTTGTAAATCTAGATTCTGGTCCCAGCTATCTGTAAATATCTACAGTGCTACAATATGTTAACGTTTTTTTGTTGTTGTTGTTTTTAAAGAATATGTTCAATTTTTCCTTCATCTATTTATTTTATTTTTATTTTTTTATCCAAATATGTATAAAATTTTTGCTCTTCATCAGTCTAAATAATGAATATTATACATGTGTTTCTCTTATATTAAACATCTGCTGATATTCTGACCTGTAAGACAAACATAACTGTGTTTTTCATCTATCCCTTTCTTTATTGCGTGAGTCAAACCAGGAGATTGTGACAGATATTGCTAGAAATGTAAAACATAAATGTGCTGCCAAACCAACACATGCAGCTATCAAACCTTTCTTCATTTTAATTCTTAAAATGAATTATTCTTGAACGAAGACACTGATTTGACACATGTAAAATATGGTTGATTGTGTTTATTGCCCCCTCCACCCATCTCCCTACCATGTGTTCTCAAAAGTGAACAGAGGGTTGGGAAATGATAGAGGAAAGGAAGAAGTGGGGAAAAGAGTTGCAAAGAAGAGGGTAAAGCAAGGGTAGAAGACCGAAAAAGTGGTGAAAGAAAGGATTAGAAAGGAGGAAAGAGACAGAGGAGAGAAAACCCCAACAATCCCTTCTGAGCAAGGAGGAAAAACTCCCCTTAAGCAGGAAGAAACCTGTGGCAGAAGGTTTGGGTGTGAGGGTGAAAAAAGAAAAGAAAAAGGATGAAGAATATATTGGAGAAAGAAAACATGGAGAGTGATGAAGAGGTGGTCGGAGAGAAAGGGAGAGGGGTGATGAGATAGAAAAGAGGTGGAGGAAGACAAGCCTATGCCTCCTCATGATTAAGTGATGAAGCAGTAGGGTCCCTCCTCCTGAAAGAGCAGAAGCGTTTTTTCTTATTTTTTAGGCACTGTTCCTGGAGCTCTTTAGGCTCTTCTGTAGGATGAGGATTTTCATTTCATTGATTGTTCCTGCATTTTGCTCCTCAAATTTCTTGCATTTTTTCTCCAGTTCTTCTAATTTTGCTTGTTTTTCATTAAGCTTTTCTTTCAGTTTTTTAGATTTTGCCTCCTGTATTCGCTTTGCCTGTAGCATCTTTATATCCCTCTGTTGTACTTTGTTGTACATGTCTTCTAACTCCTCATTTCTGCTCTGGATTTCTTGAAGTGTATACTACAGGTCTTTATGTGTTTTCTTCAGTTCTTCCCTTGCACCTGCATTTCATTGTTTTTGCACCTCAAGTTGTTGTTAGGTTCTGTTTTTTCTCAGCATTTCATTGAACCTATATTGCATGTCTGAGCATTATTTTTTCCAGTTTTTCCTTTTCTCCTTCTAGTTCAATGGTTTTCGCATGCATTTCATTATAACATGCGTGCAGTTGTAGATTTTTCCTTTCAAAGTCTTGGAGAATAAGTTGTGTGTTTTTTTCTGTATTACTTCCTGTTGCTCTTTCTCTTGAAGCATTTCTGCATTTTTGTGCAGTGCTTCATCAAGCAGTATTTGCAACACATGATGTTTTTCCTCCATGTTTTGGAGTTTACATTCCATTTCTTTCTCCTTTATGTCCTCTTGTTTCTTCTCTTGAAGAAACTCTTTTTTTTTCCAGGGCTTCATCAAATTTTACTTGCAGCTTCTGATTCTTTTTCTCTGTGTCTTGGAGAGTCAGTACAGCCCAGTTTGATTTTAATAAAGGTTATCTTATCTTATTTTAAATGGGCCAGACCAGTGAAACTCTCTTTTCTGTCAGTGTAACGATGTTTAACTAGAAATTTAATCCCTGAGCTAATTATATAAATATAATCTAAGAAAAAGAAATTCAGTTTTCAACAATACACTTACACACATCCGTTTTCCTACATGATGAAGTAATTCCGCTTTGGGCTTAAATTTACAGAAAAATGTCTATTAGCTCATTGCACAGACTGTCTTGTAATTATAAAATGGAACATTTTTATTAAATGACAGAATAATGTTTTTTTTTTCTTTTTGCATGATTCTGACAATGAATCCACTGTAAAAATTAAACTTCTCTATAGTAGATCATGGAAAAAAAGGTGATCTTCTCTTATTTAATCGTTCATTTTTTAATCATTGTCAAGTATAATTTTGACTATCTGGCGGCGGAGTTTGGCCCTTAGACCTTATGTTTGACACTGCTGGCATGGTACTGTTGCAGAAATAGCAAACACAGCATAGCCTGTTTTAGAGTTTGAAAGCCACAGAGAAATCGACAGTATGCCTCCGTGTTTTTGCTTAGACAATAGGTCCTTCCCATATCGAGACGCTCATGTTTATCAGAGAATCATGGTTATATCCATAACCTCAAGTTTGTAATGATGCCCTCTTTATTGGGTATGACACCACATCTCCAGTTTACCTAAGGAAGTCCTGATTTTATTGTCCTTACTTGCCAGCCTTGTAAGACATAAAGTATTCGAACGAGTAATAGCCAAAGTCTCGTTGAATTGCTGGTTTTCTTTGGCACGGTGCTAAATTGCTGATAGACACCTCTGACCTTATATTCAAATTTAAAAGTGACTTGCTGGGACAGTGGATAAAAAGCATGACTAAGCAGGCCTTGCACAAACAGCGCACTTCCCCGAGGCGCTATAACTTGGAAGTGAGACATAATTATAGTTTGTGTCGTGGTTGGGTTTACGTTTGCATGCCTCCACAATGTGTTTTGGATGTATGTGTGCCGCGCGTGTGCGGGCGTGCAAACTACAGAGCGTGCCCTCTTATAGATAATTACTGCTACCATTATTGCTGCTGTGCAGAAAATAACTCGAGGGATTGAAATGCAAATGCTAATAAAGTCTTTACAAATATGTTTAGTTTTAATTGGTACTAATTAGTCCAATGAGAGGCAGAGCTGGTGACACAGTGACTTTTTACCTGGATGGAGTAGGTGGCGACACAAGGAGGGCAAACGAGCCCCCTCCATCTGCATGCTTTTGCGCACGCGTAAAATGCATTCA